TTTTTAAAGGGGATGTGGCCCATACACTTGTGCATGCCTGGCAGGGAGATGGAGAAGTCTCATTTAATGAAGCCGGGGTGCCTGTTGCACCTGAACATCCTCAGTCCACGTCAAGTTGACAACGTCCTTCTGACATCCAAACCACAGGTATCACATACTTTTCCATACTTTCCACCCAAGATTAAAATATGCAGAGCACCGTGATAAAGACACCTCCATTCCCAGCATGTTGGCTCTCATTCCGAGGAATTACATACTTTCGGTGCAAAATGGTGACCAGGTTGCAGCGGCAAGCAAGACTGGGCTCAGTGGGGACAGCAGGCGCTGCAGGAGCCACCACTCCTGTCGACAAGTCTGATGCAGCTGCAGAGAAGCGTGTGGCTGAGGCCATTCACTTTGTGAGGAGAACCCCACAGGAGGGAAAGGTAGGAAGGTCGGGAAGACGCAATGTCATGCTTCTGAGCCCAAGCCGAGCCATCGCATCCCCTGTGACTTGGACTTATATGCCTAGATGGCCTGAAGTAACTGAAGAATCACAAAAGAAGTGCAAATGCCCTGTCCCACCTTAACTGATGACATTCCACCACAAAATAAGTGGAAATGACCGGGCTTTCCTTAAGCGAATTATATTATCTTGTGAAATTCCTTTTCCTGGCTCATCCTGGCTCAAAAGCTCCCACACTGAAGCACCTTGTGACCCCCACTCCTGCCCACCAGAGAACAACCCCCCTTTGACTGTAATTTTCCTTTACCTACCCAAAACCTATAAAACGGCCCCACCCTATCTCCCTTCGCTGACTCCCTTTTTCGGACTCAGCCCGCCTGCACCCAGGTGATTAAAAAGCTTTATTGCTCACACAAAGCCTGGTTGGTGGTCTCTTCACACGGACGCGCATGACAGGTAGGTGCAGAGCCAGGGAAGGACCTGTGATGAGAACAGAAAGGAATGCGTCTCCCTGTACCACACACTCGGATTTTATGACAATGTGCGCAGGGGGCTGAACTGGGATGCCTGAGAACATTTCCTCAAGTTCTTTTGCTGATTTCTAAATATTGGGTGTAAAATCTGAACTCAGACAAAATTTTTTAAATCGCTTCAATCAACATCTTGTGTCTAGTGCTCAGCATCATACCTACGTGATCATCTAGAAAAGCAACTTCTCTTCTAAGGCTCACATCCTCCTATTAATTCTCAGGGATTTTACAAGGGAATGCACCTCTCATTCGCAACAAGAACTGTGGGGAAAAGAAAGAGAGATCAGCCTGTTACTGTGTCTATATAGAAAGAAGTAGACATAAGAGACTCCATTTTGTTCTGTATTTGAGATACTGTTAATCTGTGACCCTATCCCCAAACCTTGTCCTTGCAAGAGACATGTGCTGCTGGTGACTCAAGGTTTTAATGGATTTTGGGCTGGTGCAGAATGTGTCTTTGTTAAACAAGTGCCTGAAGGCAGCTTGCTGGTTAAAAGTCATCACATTCTCTTAATTTCAACTACCCAGGGACACCTACACGGCCAAATGTCGCAGGACTCTGCCTAGGAAAGCTAGGTATTGTCCAAGTTTCTCTCCCATGTGATAGACTGAAACAATAATGCTAAAAGGTTTATGGAGATGTTTGCATATGCATCTCAAGGCACAGCATTTTCCTTTAAACTTATTCATGTTCACAGAGATTTTGTTCGTATGTCTTACTGCCGATTTCCTTCCTACAATGATCCTATGTCCTGCCACTCCCTTATCTTTAAGATGAAAAGATAGATATCAATAAATATAAGGGAGGCCAGAGACCAGTGCCGGCGGTGGTCCTCTGTAGCTGAGCGGCCGGTCCCCTGGGCCCCCGCTTTTCTTTCTCTATACTTTGTCTCTGTGTCTTATTTCTTTTCTCAAGTCGTTCGTTCACCTAACGAAGAAACACCCACAGGTGTGGAGAGGGCAGGCGCACCCCTTCAAAGAACAACAACAACTACGTTAAAGAAATGCTTAATTTGCTTACATAATTTTTTAAACACCCAGATTTGAAATACAATAGAGAAGAGTAACTTGTTGATAGCCTGCTTTCCAACTGCGTAAGCTGCGGGTGAAGAAATAACCTGCATGATTTCTAACCAGTGCAACAGCCTGTCTTCCCTGGCTGCCAGTAGGAGCAATCTTCTGAGCTCAGGAGGAAAAAGAAACCCAGCTGGTTAGGGACAGACAAGTCATCAGTTCTCAGCGGGCTTCCGGTCCCAAATCCCCATGTGATACGTGGAAGTAAAAAGGCTATCAAATGGACCAAGCATCAGAACGGGTTATCCCACCTCGCCATCTGCTTCTCCTGCCATGCAAATTTAAAAAATAAGCCTGCTATTAGAGAACCAGAGTTGGGCTGCTGTCTTCCTAAAATTACGGATAATTACCAGCCCGCCTGGCTGTTCGTAAATCAGATTTTGAGTAGTCCCTTAGACCAGGGAAGCTAAAGCTGGCCTCAGCCCGTAAAGCTGAGAAGTAGAAACCAGAACTGGGACCGTGCTCTAGGGTTCGATTTTTTCCCCCTTGTTCTCAAGAGTGGCTGTTCCCGGAGATCCGTGCTGTCTTACTGTCTTGTTTATAAAATTGTATGAGAAGACGAGAGGAAATTGCAAAGGACATGATAGAAATGCCACTTTTCTTAGGTACAACACTGTTGGTGAAATCGGGTTGAACATTGTTCGAGTTGCTGGTTTTCGTCCACAAATTGTGAGCTGAGTACATTTGCTCCCTGCGTGGTTAACATCAGATCACGGGGAAGACTTTAGCAGTAAGAGAGGAGTGCATGTGAAAGTATTGGGCACTGAGAAGGAGACAGGACTCTACCTCGTAGGCTTACAGCGACTTCCTGGGCCTCCGACTTACTTTGTCCATCGCCTGTCAACGGATCTAAAGGCCAGTGATGTCTAGCGCCACGACCGCTTTCATATCACAGCATCCACAATGACTCACAGCCTGTGTGAAAAGCTGTGACCTGTTGGGCTGACGTGTTCTGAAGGAGTTATCTGTATCCATTGCTGTTACCAAGTTACTCCACCTCGTTCTCAGGATTGGATCGTGTATTTTTTCGAGAATGATGTCGCGAGCATTGTAGCTCGCGCGTCGCCTTTAGCAATGTGTGGTATAGCCTCCCAAAGTGCTGGGATTACAGGTGTAAGCCACTGTGCACAGCCCTACGAATGTGACTTATACAAAGTCACAGCAGTGAGCAGGAAGAGAACAGAGACTTCAGCGAGTTTCCTGGCTGTGGCAACACTATATCCCTCCTCCATACCGTAATGTGTCTACACCCACCAAGCTCCTAGACGTTGAAGGCAGGCCAGCTCAGAAACGGAACAGCAGTCAAGAAAGAGAAGACGCAGACATGCGTCTTGATTTCACCTCGAGCGTGCCTCTCTGCCCTGCAGCTGCACAGGCAGAAACCAGGGACGGTGAGTCTGAGGCAGTATGTTTGGTTCCTGGCAGGTAATCTTTTGGGAGACCAACCCATACAATTAGTGTTACACTTCTCAAAAAGGAAGTGTGACTTTTATGGAAAAATCTATTCCATTTGGGAGAAAGGCCTAATAAAACCACAAAAGGATAATACATTCATACAACAACAAATTAAATTCATCTGTCAGAAACTGAAATCCCAAAGCCCTCTGGGCACACAGCTGCTTTTCTGAGCTGAAATTCAACTCCAGTTGAGAAACAGGTCAACTTTGCTAAAAAGATTTCTTTTTCACATGCCTTCAATAAAAATTCCTTTCCCTCGCTTGTCATTTTCCAGATTTAATGGCTCTGATGGCCTTCCTCTCATTTAGGCCATGAGCACTGACTGCATGTCTGCTACGGCCAGGACCCCAAGGGAGGCGCCCTAGGGAACACAGATGACCTCAGCACAGCGACAACCTCAAGGAGCACACACAGGGAAGGCAAGATGATACAATCGCAGACTTCACACAGAAAAGAACTTGGCATCTATACCCCGTCCCATTTCTAGAAAACAACGATGCTGAGTCAGTAACATTTACCGAACAGCCTGCAGTGTGGAGGCAGGCACGAGGGGGCTCCATGCGGGGAAGAGCACCTTCAGAAGGGGGCATGCAAACAACGTGGAGGCCGGAGATGCCCCCACGCACAAGGGCCAACCTGGGGGCCTGCAGAAATGCCCATGCATCTGGGAGGCGGGAGAGAGGACAGATACTTAAATGCTCCAAAATGAATAGAAGCCTCCCAAGAACTTCCCCGGAAATGGGGCAGGGATTTACAAAAGACCAAACCGAGCATGCGCAGTTACCTGAGCATAGCGCCACGAGAGCGAGCTATCTTCGAGGAAGAAACAGGGGTCCACTAGAAGGCCTGAGCCTCTACGCTCCCAGCTCTGCGATCAATTTCACCGATGACGGCTTTGTGAAGGGCGTCTTAGCTTCTTGTCGAGGCCCACAAGAGATCACGGGAAAACAGAAAGATATGAAAAGCGTGCTCTGGCCTTGTTTCACAGAACTGCCTGAAGGGGGAATAATATCAGGATAACGGATTTTTAAAATTCTATGTTGAATTACAAAGCAAAATGCAACGTTATGAAATCATTTGCTTACCATTAATAGCAGCGGCACTGCAAAAATTAAGAGCCAGAGGTGACAGACCCACAGCATTTTCACCCCTGATCTTCTCTATTTATAGAGAAATATAATGATAATGGGTTAGTAGTTAAAGGGTCAAAAGGGTGTTGATGGTTAAGGCTAGTATAGGTTGATTACTCTTTTTTGAATATTGTCAAAAACTGGCATTTGATGGAGTCAATTGCTTACTAGTTATACTAAAAACGAGGGTAGCGATCCTCTCAATAAATAGAAAATATAGAGGGAATGTTATGATAATATTGTTCTACGAAGGTGTCTTTGCCGAGTACCAAGCGGCCGGCCTCAAGCCAAAGTGGTGGCTTGATGTAAAAGTGCGGTACTAATTACGTTGGGCGAATGAAACAGATAAAGAGGAAGTGGTTGGTAATCCAATGATAACATGGGAAGTTTCCGTGGAAGCCCGGTGGCGACGAAGAATGTTTGAACCATTAATACCCATTCGGAGATAGTAAAAGGTGCTTTCACAAGTATTTTCTGAAATTTGATAATTAAGGTACAGTAGCGACTGCCTAAGTGAGATTGTGATTAAGTTAGGGGGCTTGGAATTGTTTGTTTTTTCGGTTACTATTATGAGGACTGTGCATGGGGCTCAGGTAAATAGTTTGACTCCTGACGCGAGCTAGGTACAGAGTATTTTAGCGGAGGGGTACTTCTTTAGGGATTTAAAGGGGTAATACCTGTTGGTTGGTCAGTGGCCTCCTTAAGTGAGGTGTTTGGGCGAGGCGCCCGTTTTGAGTGTAAAATGTCAGAAAAGACAGCCAATGAAAAAGAAGAACTTCTGAGATGATAGCATAATATTATTTCCATACCGAAGCCTTTTGGACAGATTGTTGGTGTGTCCTTGAATAGGTGGGCTTTGTCGCTCAGCGAAGCTGCCATCGACGTCGCGATGAGAATA